ATTTTTGTAAATAATAAAAAAAAAAATGAGTTAACAAAAAAAACAAACTTTGCTTTAGCAATAAAAATTTTTTTATCGTCCAAAATTCATTTTATCTATTACAATATAATAAATGATAATCTATAATTGATTATCATTATATATTATCCAAAAATTTTCAGTTGCGATAAGAAAATTCCCAGTATTTTTGTATTTAATTGCACAGTATCCTGGAGAAAAATTTTTCTAATAAATCCTTAAATTATTATCAAAAAAAAACCATGCCTAAAGAAAACCGTATGTCCAAAATTACTCGCCTCACTTGCTCTGGTCAGAAAGATCCTGCCTGGGAGACCATAGTGGTGCTTCAAGAAAGGATTAAAATTTTGGAGCGCTTAGCACGTCGTGAAGAAAAGGTCAAGGTTTTGCAAGAAGAGATTATCAAGTTGAAAGAAGAGGTTATCAAGTTGAAAAAAGAGGTTTTCAAGTTACAGACAGACTTGGAAAAGCTTTCAGATGCTCGGGCCCTTCACTGTCACAATAGAGAGTTGGAGTTGGAAAACTTCAATTTGAAAAACAGGGTGGCTCGGTTGGAGGAACTCCTTCAACTTTTAGGAACTTCTGCCCCTGCTCCTTTCGACCGGTCCTTTTCCACCTTTGAATTCAATTAGAGGTTTGCCTTTTTGATCTTGATGTTTTGTTCTGTTTAATCTAATTTTATAAATTCATTACAAGAAATATAGTAATCGCTGAGTATGCTTTGTGAGCCGGCTGTAATAAAAGAGGAGAGCTTAGTGGGCCCTCTTTATTGCACTGTATTTCTTGCTTGTGTCTTAGTTTTCAGATTCCTTTCTCTATTCAAGAGTTCAATGATACTTGTATTTGGGCAAGTTGAGGACTGGGCTATCATGGTATCTATGTCCACGTCATATAGCCTGGGTGCTGTATTTCATACAGTAGCTAAAGGATACCTCAATATTTCAATGTTTCTTATTAAGAATGTAAAAGTAATAATGATAATAATAATAAAATAATAAAGTTTTAATAAAATTAAAAATGTTTATGAATAAATAAAAATGGGTATATTATTCGTGTAAAATGAATTGAAAGAATAGTATTAATTACTTTGATAATTTCATAAAATGCTATAGTCTCAAACATCATCCTGCTACAATTTTGTGCTTTATGACTGACCAGCCTTTAGCCAGCATATGTTATGGATTCCTAAGAATCAAGATCGTCTATAGCTATGTAATGGCTTTATGAAATTACCCAAACAAATAATAATATTTTTCCAAGTCATAAGAAAGAAATAAAATGATATATGTGTCACCAAATGCTAATAGAATATGAGGGATAATCAAAGGAATTATAAAGGAATTGTAAAAGGATAAGAGTAATTAAAAGGGGTAAGGTAATTATTAACTTCGCTTTTGTTTTTTATATTTTTTATAAAGGGATAAGGATTAACATAATTCAATTATGGCACGGTTGGTTTCTCAGGGGGCATGTATGCTATCAAGGTAGGTAAATGCTAATGGAAGTTTTATGATGTCGAAGTGTATGCTAACCACGTCTCTTCTTTTTTATAGAGGTACCATCAGTTCAAGATGCTGTTATGAGATCTTTGATGGTATCGATCCAATCGCAAGGATCAGCGAGGATCATGGGTTCGTCAAAGTCTTTGTGCAGATCTTGATGCGGCATTGTCATGATGGTGGTGGTATCTTTCCGAAGTGACTGCATATCTTGTCTTCTAGATAAAAAGATTGACGGTGCAACGTCAAAGTCTTCGGGATATGGAATTTTTGAGCTCGATGCAAATCACTTGGATAAGAGCATAGTGATGAACCATGTGATGACAACAAAACCATAATTCTCTTCTGATTGTAATCTTTCAATCTAACACTCGTGACGTTTTCGTGGCCCCCCTATGGGTTCAGTATGGGTCTTGAATCAAGTAGCAACCAGAAGTGTTCGCAGATGTGTTTTTTGTTCTTTCCTATGGTGCTTGAGAGAATGCATTTACTCTCAAATACAAAACTTGTAGTCCGACAAACTTTTCAGGTAATTACTGATACAGTTTCCTTCTCATTTTGCTTTCTGTTTTTCCGTTTTTTTTTTTTTTTTTTTTTTTTTTTTTTTTTTTGTTTTTCTCAGGTAGCTTTACTGACGGATGTGCGATCAGATCCAGGATAAATATTTAGGATTTGTCAGAATCAGATGTTTTCTTGATGGTGTAGCCTCTTCCAACGGTGCTAGTTAGGTTTGTTTTCTTTGTATTGGTGGCGGCATTCACGATTTTTTGTGGGAGGACATGCAACCGTGATCATGATCGTAATCACGTATGACAGCATTCTGGCATTTGATCTTCGAGGCTGTTATCTTTTTGAGATAAGCGTTCCGTTTGCTATAACCGTTCTGTTTTTGGGTGGTTAGTTCTTTCTCTAACTATTCTTGTCTTTTTTTCTTCTTTTTCTTTTCGCGTCGGTGCCTTCTTCACGGTCTTGTCCCAGTATTTCCAATCGTCGGGGCGGTATATTTCTTGTCGGTCGTGATGTTGATTATTGTGGTGGGGGCTTGTCGGAGCGTTAAATATTCGTTGCCGTTCTGAATATATATGCATGCATATATACAGTATTCTAGGTATGCATTATTCGACTTCATAGGGTAAACTTTTGCGATCGTGATCGTAATCGTGATCATGATCATATTTCGGCGTTTCCAACCGTCGGTCTTGATGTAATTCCGGTAAGTTTCAGTTATGTTGTGGCATTTTTTTTTTTTTGCGGTGTTCTACCATTGGTTTCTAATTCTCTTACCAGTCTTTCCCTAGCCTAATGCTTCACGTTCGATTTGCCATCTGCGGGTTCTCCTTGACCCTTGGTGATATCCATCATCCCTGGTATAAGCTACCGGAGTCTCGTCGGTAAGTTCTAGTTCTTTTTGCCTTCTGGTTTCTTTGCCGTTCTTTTCTTTACAGACGGTTTTTCTTTCTTTAGGGACTTGTCCCTTGATTCTTTCGGTGCCACGGCATTTCTTCATGATCATCAGTATCCCGGCATGACCTTCGGAACCGATGACTTGTTGATAGGTAAGCGGTCTCTTTCCTTTCTTTTTTGTAGCAGTATTCTTTTATTTGGTCTGAAGCCTCTTACCATCTTTTTTTGACTCATAGCTTCCATCGTGTCGACATCCCTCTCACCGCCTTCGGGTTCGCTCTTTCGCGCAGCGTTCTGGTGTCTCCACTACTCATTGCTGGAGTCTCCTTACTGATAAGTCTCATTGAAAATGGAAAGGATCGAATACGAGGATCGTCTCTTTTTTTTTTTGTACCGCCTTATCATAGTTGTAAAAAATTTTTTTTTTTTTGTTTTTTTTTTGTTAACACTTGTCGCATGCACGAACATGATTTCGCTCTGATCAATCATAGGCTTCCACTGATCGAATAAGAGATGAATCCCATTTTGCAGAGCAGATTCGTTATTTCACCTTATGGTAGCACCTGCAGATTTTGCCTTTTGTTTTTTATATCTAAAATGACAAATACTAATTTGCCATTTCTTCTTTGTACGCTAGGGGTGTATCAATCTTCTCACGATCATATGGCATCTCGACAATATCCTCAGAGCTGTCGTCGCTTGACAAGGCAAGTTTCTCCATTATGTTGGGTCGGTTGGAAGGCTTCTCTTGGGTCATATAGTTTCTTTGAATAGGGTGGCGAATTCTCATCGTTATAATGTCGTTTATTCATTTTTTTTATAATTTAATTTTTTAGGGAGAAGGCGCATATACCTAAAGATGGGTCCCTAAAGTATTTAGTATATAAAATTTACGTCCCTTTACGTCCATGTCCCCTAGAGGACATAATTCCTAGCTCTTTACTTCAATAGGGACATA